TAATATTAATTAATAAATAAATTAAAATAAATTAATTCATTCAAAAACAGGAATATGTTTAAACTGCATCTCTTCCAAGCACAAAGACAGAAAAAAATCATTTTAATGAAATTTAGCAGCATAACATACAAAGAATCCCTGATTGTAAAGTATAAAAATCAACATTGCATAAATTAATACAACAACAGTTAGCTTTCTTTTTGCTATAGTACAGTATATGTTCAAATGTTTTTGATCTTGGTGCAGCTGAAAAGCACTGTTGAATATTTTCTTTTTGCCAAAGTATTTGCCAAAGTGTTTGTCACTTGGCAAGCACATACATACATTCATTTGAACATTCATCCAAGATCTAGAAAGTAAGCAATTCTCAAACAATAATTTGTGCTGCTACTTTTATGGTTACAAATAGTTCATATCTGTCAATGAAAAAAAGCCTGAAAGTAAAAGATGGTGGATAGTATCATTTCACCAAAGCAAAAAGATGTGAAAATGAAAAAGAAAGGAATTTTTTAAAAATGACACAATAAAACTGTATTGCAAAACAAACACCAAAAAAATATAGAAAAAATAAATATTTAAACTATAAACAAAATCGAAAAAATAAGCTAAATTCAAAAGTAAAAGACTATGAAAATAAAACCCCTATACTGGTTAATATTAATCTGAAATCCACTACTTCACGAACCAATAAACCAGCAATAGAAAAGAACTACTCACTTTGAGAAGTAAACATTTTCATCCATTTTTAAAAATGACATCCTCAGGCTGGTGTTCTAAAATTTGAATTGCACATTTTTTGTAACAGATAATAAACTTTATGTAGTCATTGATGATTGGAGGATAGTTGATAGACATTGACTGGTAAAATGTTTGTATGTAGCAACCTGTGTGGAATGTGCTTCTGCTGAACTTATATTTTCCATGGGTTCAGGATTGTGCTATCCCCTTTATAGTTGATGGTTTGACTTTTGGGTCATCCTGTAGATCTCCATTAACTCTAGATATCTGATATGTGATCTATCTGCTGTTCTATGTATGATTTTGGCTCAGTCAAAATGGACATTCATGTCAGGGCATATGTTGCTAGGGTGGTGGTTAATTGGTCTTTTGATATGTCAGCTCGATGTTCCTTTAGACGGACGGTAATGTGCAACATGTGGCTCCTATGTATTCCAATTCTTCACTGGTTCTCTTGTCCATAAGAGGGATGGAATATACTCCTGGTAAATATTGCCAAGTTGGCAGATCTTTGGCATTTCTAATTAGACTTGAGGATGTCAATTTTAAAAACAGACAAAAAATTCACTTCTGAAAGTAAGTAGTTCTTTTCTATTGCAAGTTCATTGTTTTGTGAAGTAGTGGATCTCAGAGTAAAAGACTAGTTTAAAAAAGATTAAAATAGCAATACTGATGACCAAAAACAAGAAAATACATGAATGAAGCAGAAATGTGTGGATGGACAAAAACAAGAAAATACATGAATGAAGCAGAAATGTGTAGATGGACAAAAACAAGAAAATACATGAATGAAGCAGAAATGTGTGGATGGACAACATGAATGAATGAAGAAGAATATTTCTTTCCTCTGATTCAGCACAATTTACCAACAAGAATCGAGAAAGAATAAATACTGAACATTTGTCACAAGTATTACCATCCACAATACTCAGTATTCACCAAATGTTTGCTTGGAATTCAGCAAATTGAATAAAACATTTCTTTTCCTTGTTATCCATATTATATACATAAAATTATAATTACAGTAGAGCGTCGATTTTCCGAAAGTCAATCATCCGAAACGTCAATCATCCGAAAGAATTCCAGTCAACAAATTTAAATTTTCGCCAGTGCTATGGCGCTTCAATCTTTGGCTATGTCTCGGGCTACTCAAATATTTTACGTTTTTGATACTAATTAACATTTGAATACTAATTACGTTTTTGATACTAATTAACATTTGAAGTATAATTTTTTATTATTTTTTTATTTTTCAATATATTTATTGTTTGTACAAAATAAAAAAATAATTTTTAACGATACAATAGTCTTTGTTAAACGTAACATCGACGAAAATTCAACGCGAAGCGACACGCAACGGAGAAAAATTTCAACATCGGATACGTTAAACTATTTTTTCGTACATAAATCGGTTATCCGAAATATCAGTTATACGAACAACCCCAGTCCCCAATTGATTCGGAAAATCGACGCTCTACTGTATTATTATAACCGATGAACGTCGATGTATTTTATAATTTGGAGCTATAAGTGTTGTATTTTTATCTATAACTATTCTTCGGTTTAATCGAGGAAGTTAAAACATCATAACAGTTTTCTTTCATTTCCATGTAATAACCAGGAAATATTTAGAAGTCACTACAACGGTGAAAGAAAGTGAAATTTTGGTTACTATTTCCTTGTATAATCAAAACAGTAGCGTGTACTGTGTAGAATGTTAAGTGACTTTTTGAAGTACAAAATGCCCTGAAGAATATTGTATTTAATCACATTTAACACAATTCCTTTTCACTGATATAAATATGCATTTAAATTCTTATCGTTTTGATAATATTTGTTTTACTTTCACAAGAAGAATCCACAATCGTTTTTATTTAAAAAGATAGTGGATTCTTTAAAGAATTTTTAAAGAATCAATTACAGATTCTCTGTTCTTTTAACAGAGGGATCCACAATATATGTATGTACTTGTATTTGATTTGATGTCAGTTTACGTGGACTCAAAAAGTCACTTAACATTCTACACGTTACTGTTTTGATTATACAAGGAAATAGTAACGCAAAAATTTCACTTTCTTTCACCTTTGTAGTGACTTTTAAGTATTTCCTGGTTGACTCAATGTTGCTAAACTGTCGAGGACACCTCTAAACAGACATGAAATATCCCCTAAACTAACAGAATTCCTCCTAAAACTGAAACAAGTTCTCTCTAAATAGTTTTGCACTAGATGCAATGCATATCAAAGAATATATATATATTCCTTTTTGACAATCCATGGACACAAAAATTTTCACTTTAGGGTGCAGGCAGCGTGGGACTGGAGCAAAAGTATCTCGTGCGAGAACACTCATGAGTCATGTGACTTTTAAAAGCTTCTCGTCGTCACTAAAGCTTCACTAACGAATAAGGACAAAATTTACACTCTTACCTAAATTTCCGCTATAAGTTATTTTTCCGCTAAACTTAGGGGAAAACCCTAAATTGGCATCACTATATTATTTCAAAAAAGTTATAAAAATTCAATGGAGTCAGAAAATTTCTTCTTTTGTTTTCTTACATAAAACGTAAAATTACGAAAAAATTATATTTTTCTTTCCTTTCTGACTTTTGGATAATATAAAACTTCAATTTTTCAAAAAAACAAGCCAATAATGACTATAAAATCTTTAAAAAACAGAGTTTAAAAAGGTATAAAAAAGAAAATAATCTGCAGAGAGA